GCGTCAAACGAGCGACGTGCGGCCTGTCAGAGCTCTATCTCGGGTCGCAGCTGCCTCTGCGCGTCCTGTGGATGTACCTTTGTCGCGCGCCGGAGATGACTCGACGCCGCTGAGATCGGAGATCAAGCTCTGACAGGCCGCACGTCGCTCCTTTGACGCCGACGTGACTCACCCGTGCAGATCACATCAGGACACGGTCTCGACACGCTCGGTACGACGCCTGCGACCCGTCTTGGGTCAGGTGGCACGACGCTCATCGCGCCTACCAGCGCTGCCGTGCAGGCTGCCACGACGAGGTCGAGCACGCTTCTATACGCTCGCCCAGCCTTCCTTTCCATCCCATTAGGCAGCCTGGGAACGGTGGCGGTCAGAGGCAAAGCCTGCGAGGGGTGGTGGAACCACATGTCACGGCTACTGCCGGCTCGACCCCACGATAGCCTCCGGAGGCTGACTTTGAGGCACAATCATCGGACGACGTCGGCGAGTTGAGTCGCGCTCGCGGTAGCCAGATGACCTCTCATACTAGTATCGTCGGCCATGGCCGCAGGAAGCGCGGGGGATTCCGCTGGGAGCAACACGGGGCTCCGTTGGACGCGTTTTCAAGATTAGCGTGTGGTCAGAGTGAACTGGAACTAGCCCCTCCACTTCTCCACAGTGTACTTATGTCTTACTAGCTGAGGGGCTCGCTAAACGCTCGCCGAGCTCCATGCTGTGCAACACCACCTCCTCACTAATCGTCAGGGGCGCGGAGAGCGCAGTGCACTGCGGTGAGGCTGCGCCGCGGGGGCTCGCCCCCTGCACCGCGCTCAGAGCGGCGTAGGGGAGAGGGCGGTCGGTGGCGGCGGCGGCGAGGCGCGAGGCGGTGGCGGCGGTGGTGCGGGCGGCGGGATGACAGGGGAGGCGGCGGGATTGACAGGGGAGGCGGCGGCCACGAGCGGAGCGGCGCGAGAAGGGGGGGGGGCGGCGGCGAGGCGCCGGTGAGCGAGGCGCCCGCGCCATCAGAGGGACGCGCCGCTGCGAGATGGAGGGCGGCGGTGACGGAGGCGAGGCGCGAGGCGGCGGCGGCGGCGGCGGCGGCGCGGCGGCGGCGGCGGCGGCGGCGAGAACGGCGGCACCGAGTCTCGGTGAGCGGCGGCGGGAGGAGGAGCAGCGGCGGCGCTCGCTCGCTGTTGACGGGAGCGCTTTTGAGCCTGGGAGCCCATGCCACTGCGACCGGCGTGCCCGGGAACGGAGATCGCGCGCGCGCCGCCACTCACGACGCGCGCGCGATCTTCGCGGAGTCGGGTCCCCAGAGGGAAGCGGTCTTCTCGGCCGACGTCCAGCGGCGCGCAAGGAAGCAGGCGCAGCGGAGGCGGCCTAGCACCGGCTCGGCGCCGGGCGGTTGCGCTGCCCGCGAGCCGCGTCCTGAGCCTCGGCAGCGCGCTGCGCGGCGCGGCGCTCGCGCTGCTGCGGTGCCGAGAGCGGCATGATGGATCGCCAGCTGAAGCTCGAGACTCCTCGGGTCCGCGAGTTCTGGGGGTCACGGGGATAAACGGCGGACGACGCGAGGCCCTTATATCTTTAGAAAGGGTTTGGATGCTGGGTTGACGGAAATCGAGGGACGCGACCCACCTCGCCACAGACGGTCCCGCGCCTCGCCACAAAGACAGTGGCACGCACCGCGGCGTGGTGCGTGCCACTGTCTTTGTCCGGAGTGAAAAGTCCAACGCGCTCGTCGGTGACGGTGTCCCTCAACCTGCGCCGCGCTCGGACACGTACGACATATCGAGGAGGATGAGGACGGTTGTGCCGAGATAGAGTCGGTTCACCTCCTTCAGCATCCCCTTGAAGGCGACCGTGTCCTCCGCGCGGCGTGTGCCCTTGGGCAGGTCCTGTGGCACATGCAGGCCGAGTCGATCCAGACGCGCTAACATCATCTGGCCGTCGGGCGAGTTGAGGGGAAGCCCTTGAGCGCCTTGGGCAGGGCGCCCCGCCGTATTTGGCCAGATTTGGGCTGCGGTACCCAGTATGAGGAATGAGCACGTCGTCTCGCCCTCCCTCACTGGTGTTCACTGGGGGGGGCGGGGGGGCGGGCGGGCGGGGGGGGGTCTTGAGAGTTGTGAATGCGGCCGCTTCTCTCAAAGTCGCATGCAGGCGGCAGCCCGACGCGGCGCTTCAGCCAGCCCTCACGGCCCGGGCATGCACCCGCACACCCTCCTCTCGCGCATGCCGATGCGCTCAGTCGATGCGGTCGTGGTGCTGCAGCTCTGCAGCGCTGCGACCGCACCGGTCTCCCGCGTCGCCGCCTTCGGTCCTGTCGCAGGCTCCCACCAGCTCCGCCGCCCGCCGACGCGGTGGTACGCGCGCTCTCCGGAGCCCGTCCGAGGGGCGGAGGCTCGAGCGTTCGTCCCAGGCCTGTTCTTTCCTCCCCGTGAGCCGTCTCTGTCGCGAGACCGCCGAGTGTGTGCCCTCGTGAGTCCGTCGGATTCCGACCAGCGCTCTACGCTCGTCGGTGACGCTGACGGTGTCCCCCGATTTCGCCGCACTCGGCGAACCTCGACAGCGCCTTCGGTGGCATGCAGCTCTTTGCGACTGAAGCCTGGAGAGCAGCTCCTCTGCTGCTCACACGCTCTGCACAGATGGCACACGCACAGCCTACTGTGCGGCTGCCACAGCTGTCACAGCGATGGGCTCGCCCTCACTGGCCCTCCGTCACTTGTGCTGCGGCTTGTGTGAGCGACACTGCTCGGCGACTGCCGGCACACACTTGAGCCATGGGTATGAGGTAAAACCACGCTACCAGCGCTTGGTCACATCGGCCCCGAGGAGCGAGGTCAGATCCTTCTACTCTGTTGATGACAACACTTGTCTACTCGCTGGAGCCGAGCAGGAGGGCCCGGCGCACAACCCCTTGGTCAACTCACCCTCCACATCCCGTAAATTCTACCTCTTCCTATGCTGCCCCCCCCCCCCCCCGCGCAAGGCGCGAGACACATGCGGCGCACCCACTGTCAGTGCGAGATGAGGGCGAAGAAGACGTGCTCCGTGTCGAGCCGCTTGCGCAGCTCCTCGTCGCCAAGTCCCTTGGTCATCGTCGCGACGCCCTTCCCCACAAAGGCGCCACTCGCGCCTATTCACAGCTCTGCGCCGTTCACACTCTTGCTTCACAGTTGCAGCACGGCTATCTCTCGCGCCGCCGCTCGTCGCCTACATCTCGGCTAGCTCTCGGCTATCTCTCGGCTAGCTCTCGGCTATCTCTCGGCTATCTCCCCGCTGTTTCTCGGCTATCTCTCGGCTATCTCTCGGCGATCTCGCGCGCCGCCGCTCGTCGACGAGCCGCCGGCGCGCACGCCTGGAGCGACACCGGTGGAGCCGACGCCCGAGCCAAAGCCAGGGTAGCAGACCTTGAAGATCTCGCGCACGGTCATGTGGATCGGCGCCGAGAACGAGCGCGAGTCGGGGGAGTGGCGTGTTATGAACTCGGCCACCGCCTTGTAGGTGGCGGCGTTGGTCGTCCTGTCGCCATCGCGCCGCACCTGCAGCTGCACCAGCTCGGCGACGGCCCCGTACTTCAAGCGGTACGGCAGCACGCCGCCCGTCGGCGTGAAGCTGCCCCCCACCACGCTCCCGATATCGGCCAGGTACGGGTTGTGGCCGGCCTGGTGCAGCTTGAGCCGCTGCCACGCGCCGTGCAGCGCTCGGCGGACGCGGAGGACGTAGGCCCACACCTCCTCGCCGCCGCGCTCCATCGTGCCGTATTGCAGCGACGGCGGCAGCGTGCGGTCGAGCGCGAGCCACAGGCTGCGGTGCCGTGCACTCGCCGCGTGCGCCTTGCTGCTGCTCGCAAATGCGCAGAGGTCGGGACCGCCGAGCAGCTCGAGGACGAGGAGCAACTCGTCGAGGCCGAGCCGCAGCAGAGGCGGCGGAGGGCGCGAACGGAGGGCCGCCGCGATTGCGCGGCACCGCTCCGCGCACTCCCGTGGCGGCCTGCCAACGGCGCGCGAGATGCGGTCCCAGCGCTCTCGCACAGGGACGCCCGACGCTCTCGTATCGCGGAGCGCGCTCTCCAGCCGTCGCTGCTGCTCGCGCGTCCAGATTTCGCTTGTTGACGGCATGTAGTATGGCGGACTTGGGGCGGGATTTTCTTATTTTTTGTCCGCGCCAGAGATATGGCACGCGCTTCTTTCACAACTGGCACGCGCTTCTTTCGTAAGGGAACCCGGACGGTGCGCACAATTTAACTCTCAAGTGTTGTCCCACAGCTTCAGCAGCCGCAGGCTCTCCGCCTCAGCGGGCACCTTCGACGGTGAGATCGCTCGTGTCCCTGCCCGCCTTCCTGCGGGCGTAGAAGAGCGCAGCCTGCTCGGCGGTGGCGAAGTAGCCGAGGAAGTTATGCTTGCCGGCCGTCGCGTTCAGCTGGTACTTCTTGCTGCCTTGCCGCTTCGGGATGAAGGTCACGCCTTTGTAGCCGCTGTTGCTGCGGCTGCTCCTAGCCAGGGTCAGGCCCTCCCTCGCTGCCTGCCGGACTGCCTCGGCGCCAGCGGGAGAGGAAGGCGCGGGCAGTGGCGGCGGCGGTGGCGGCGGCGCGGTGGGATCACTTGTGTCCCTGCCCGCCTCTCTGCGGGCGTAGAAGAGCGCCGCCTGCTCGGCGGTGGCGAACCAGCCGATCGACATGTAGTTGCCCGTAGTTAGCGCCCGCCCGCCCCGCCTCCGTCGCTTCGTAAAAGAAAATAACGAAATAAAAACAAGCAAAAGAGAAAGCGAAGCCAAAAACGATTGCGTAAACGGCGTCACAAAGCCCGCCGGTTTTGATCGACAATCGTGAGATTGACCGCCGTCGACCAGAGAATCGACGGCAGCATGCAGACGATGTGCCAGCTTGCACGGCGCTCGCGCCGCGCCGGCTGGCTCATCGACCGCGCTCTCTGGCGCCGTCCGGGCCACGCACGGCGCCGCGCGTGCCGCGCGCCACTCGCCTCGGCAGGCAGTACAGCGCCAAAGCCGCCTCGCAAACACCGCGCACAGCACCAGCATGCTGCCCACCAGGCAGCAGAGTGCTGCACCGGCGTGCAGCGGATGCTGCGGTGCTGCGGCGCCGCCTCCCCGCCCTGTCCACGGAGCAGGCGAGCGGCGGCACGGCCTTCCACCAGCTGCAGGAGGTGCGCACTTCCCAAAGGAAGCACCAGATGCACCTTCAGCACACGCAGCTTTGCGCAGCGCAGCGCACGGGCTACGCCACGCAAAGCCGACCCTCAGTCTGCCCAAGAGGCTGTCTGAGGAAGGCCTGGCAGCGCGTACTCGCCTCCTCCGCGGCCATGCCCTCCGCACGGGCGAGCGAGCATCGCGAGAGTGGGGCGACACAACCAGCGTCGGAATCACGCGCGCCCCCGTGAGGGGAATTTTCACGTGGAATAACACTCAACCCAAGCGAGGCTCGAGATCGGCCGCTACGACCGCCACCAGGGCGTGGTCTACCCGGGTTGCGCCAGCTCCACGAGCGCGGTCACCTTCGTCAACTCGATCCTTCTTCCGCCTGACGCTCCGCGCGCCTCGCGTCCTCGTCCAGGGAGACATCCTCGGCTTTGGCGGCAGCACCCTCTCGGCTCCCGGGGTGGGGACTATCTCCTACTCGGTCGACCTCTCTTCGTAGGTCTTGACGCCGAAATTCACACAAGACTGTGAACACACCCACAGGACGCCCCAAGTACAAGACAATACGAAGGGAGTGTACTCAGGCAGTCAGGGACGGATGAGTCATCGTCGCAGTCAGCCAGGAGGGGGCTGGCGCCTTCCTGAATGCGATCCCCATGCGGGATGATATGAAGATGGACACGTGGGCGATGCGCATTACAGTTCAGCGCCGCCTCGGCCTCCCGCTCGATGTTGCCTGCCAGGCGGTGGAGGCGGGCAAGAAGGCGCCAAACGGCAAGCCGCACGAAGAACTCGGCGATGCCGCAATGATGCAGGTGGGATGGTGGGTGGACCCTGTCCTTCTTCGATCTCCCACCCCTCGTTGTTTGCGTGTCCGTTTTATTGATTGATCTTCTAGGTAGAGGTGTTCGTTGGAGCACCTGGAGCACTCTTGCACCGTTGCAGTCGATAGCCTCACACCCAGGGCCAGGGAGCTAAGAAGCGCACCCAGCTCCTGAGCCGCCTGATCTGAGACAGCCTGACAGCAATGAGCAAACCCCGGACGACACTCGACAGCGCCGGCCGTACGCAGTACTTCGGAATTATACTTATACCTCCTCCCACCAAGAGAACGGCTTTACCTTTACTTTGATATCTTTATCTTCAAGAGATTGATGACTGTTTATCGCACCGCCTCCTCCAAGGAGAGCCAGTGCGCCACTAACGGTAGAGAGGGCCTCGCTCCCCGGCACCTCCGCCCGACGAGACCCCCGCCCCCCGCCCCCCCCACGCCGCGCCACCAACCTCCTCCCACGCCTCTCCCTCTCCGCCGGCCGCGGCCTCCTAGAGCTCCGTCCTCCGCCGCACCGTGCACCGCCCAACCCCCACACCCCGCCGCCTTCACGACGTGATGTTGAGCGTGGCGTAGCGGCCGCTGCTCGCAGACGCCGTCTTGCCGCCGCGGCCGGTGGGGGCGGCGGCGCTGCCCGACGGCCTCCCCGCGGGCGCGTGCGGCTGTTTGAAGAGCTGCGGCTGCGAGGCGGGCGGAGGCATCGCCACCGCGCGGTTGGGCTCCATCACGGCGGCCTGAAGCGGACGCGCCAGCGAACCGCCGCCGTGCCGCGGCGGCGCGGCGGCGGCGGCAACCCCGCCGCCCTTGCGGGCGGGAAGGTGGGGCGGGTGGCGCCGGCTCGGCTCGGCCGCCGCACGCGGCGCCGCCGCAACACGCTGCCGCTTGGGCTGGTCGTACGACCCCTGCGCCCGCCTCTGGTGCCACGCTCCGTCCTCGCCTTCGTCCGAGTACTCGGAGATGTCCTCGAGCGGCGACGCCGGCCGAAAAGGCTGCGGCGCGGCGTCGGACGCCTCGCTAAGGCCCCTCATCCACGGGTGCTCCTGTTCACGGCCGGGAGGTGTGAAGAGACGCCGATAAACGCCAGCACCTCTGAGGCCCGACGGCTCCTTGGCGGCGGCGACGGTGATGCGGCGCTGCGGGTCCAGCTCCAGCATCGCGCCGACGAGCTGCCTGCGAGATATGGGGAGATATGGGGAGATCTGAGGAGATGTGACGAGAGAATCTCGCGCCGACGAGCTGCCTGCGTGCTGAATACACCGGCGTCAGGACGGTCTCGTGCACGTCAGGACGGTATCGTGCAAGAGTCGAGATATGGGGAGATATGGGGAGATCTGAGGAGATATGGTCTCGTGCAATAGTCTTTCAGAGCACCGCGTGGATACGAGGGGGGGCGAACACAGCGGAGGGCCGCGGAGTACAGTTGAGTCCGTGTCCTCTCGAGCGCTGGTTGGGAGACACGAATACGTACTCCACTGCTGCTGCTAGGAGGAGCTGACCTCGCGGCGGGGGAAATGCCCGGCCATGGCGCGTGCGCAAAATGGAGTGACGGCCGGATGCCTCGCCGGATCTGGTCGAAGATGGTATCGGAGCAGCCTGCGGTCTCGTTGAAGGGGGGGGAGCCGCAGAGCAGGATGTACCTACGCTCGAGATCGCATCTCGGGTGTGATCTCGGGTGATCTCGTTCAAGGGGGCCGCAAAGCAGGAGAGGACAGGATCACGCCCAAGGACCAGAGGTCGCACGCGGAGTCGTAGCCTGTTCACAGCTGCAGGTGTGAGCAGACGCCGTTCACAGCCGCCTCCTCCAGAGGTCGCACGCAGGCTCGTCGCCTCGCTTTGACTCGCGGCAGCCGAGCACTTCCGGCGCAAAGTACTGCGGCGTCCCGCAAAAGGTCGACGCGACGCGGTCCTACGGGGCGCGCGTCACGGACGTGTCGTGGACGTGTCCAGGCAGAAACCCGCGGCAGCTGCGAGGCGACAGGTGTGTCCTGGCCGACCAGCTTGGCGAGCCCAAAGTCGGCTATCTTGCAGACGGGGACAGCGCCGCCCTCGGGCGCAGCCTGCAGCAGGACGGGGCGCGGGCTGGAGGGACGGCCGAGCGGCAAGCCGAGGGGGTAGCCGAGGGCATCTCTCCCCAGATCTCGCCAGATCTCGCCAGCCCGCCTGCAGCAGGATTTCTCCGGCTTGAGGTCGCGGTGCATATCTCCCCAGATCTCCCCAGATCTCGCCAGACCGCCTGCAGCAGGATGTTCTCCGGCTTGAGGTCGCGGTGGACGATTGACTTGGAGTGGAGGTAGCCGACCTGCGGGAACGATCACACCGCCCTCGGGGTGCGAAGGCGGCCGAACGCAGCGGAGTACGTGTCCTCTCGAGCGCTAGTTGGGAGACAAGAACCGTCGTCCGCTTCTAGGACAGCCGACGGCATCGAGCAGCTGCGCCATGACGGCGCGCGCGCCCACCTCCTTGAAGGCGCCGTGCTCAATCAGGTGGTCGAAGAGCTCGCCTGCGGAGATACGGGGAGATATGGGGAGATACGGGGAGATATGGGGAGATACGGGGAGATATGGGGAGATATGGGGAGATATGGGGAGATACGGGGAGATGTGGGGAGATACGGGGAGATACGGGGAGATATGGGGAGATCGGGTGGTCAAGGAGCTCGTTTGGCGAGATGTGGGGAGATGCGGGGAGACGTGGGGAGATGTGGGGAGATCAGGTGATCAAAGAGCTCACCGCCCTCGACGAGCTCCACCAGCAGACAGAGCTCGGTCTCCGTCTCAAAGACCTACTCTCGTTGTCGTGAAGTATGACTCCGCTCCACCAGCAGGCAGAGCTCGGTCTCCGTCGCGAAGACGTCGTAGAAGCGGATGATGTGCGCGTGGTGCAGCGACTTGAGGATCCTCGCCTGAGATGTGGGGAGATATGGGGAGATATGGGGAGATATAGGGAGATATGGGGAGACTTGAGGATCCTCGCCTGGAGCAGCGGGCAAGGAGCGGCTCCCTCACAGCGCGCAGCTGCTCCTCGGCCATCCCACTCCTCAGAGAGGATCGGGTGCAATCTCGCGTAATCTCGCGTACTCTCGCTCCTCAGAGAGCGTCAGCCGGGTGAGCTCGCATCTCCCCACATCTCCCCGCATCTCCCCACATCTCCCCACACCTCGGAGAGCGTCAGCCGGGTGAGCTCGCATCTCCCCACATCTCCCCGCATCTCCCCACATCTCCCCACACCTCGGAGAGCGTCAGCCGGGTGAGCTCGCATCTCCCCACATCTCCCCACATCTCCCCGCATCTCCCCGCATCTCCCCACACCTCGGAGAGCGTCAGCCGGGTGAGCTCGCATCTCCCCACATCTCCCCACATCTCCCCGCATCTCCCCACACCTCGGAGAGCGTCAGCCGGGTGAGCTCGTCCGGAGGCAGGCCTCTCGCGCGGCTGGCGGCGAGCAGCTTGCGCTTCTCGATCGCCTGAGATATGGGGAGATATGGGGAGATATGCGGAGATATGGGGAGATCTGGGGAGATATGGGGAGGTATGGGGAGATCTGGCGACCACCGCCTTGGCAGCTGACTCACCGCTGATTCACAGCGGTCCACGCGCGGGGCAGCAGCCTTCCCGGAAGTGTCCCGGAAGTGTCTCGGAAGTGTCTCGGACGCGTCTCGGGTGTGGCAGTCTAGCTCCTGCTGACGGAGCCATCTCCTCGGTGTCTCGGGCGTGTCTCTGACACTGTCTAGGGCGTGTCTCGGGCGTGTCTCTGACAGTGTCTCTGACAGTGTCTCTGACAGTGTCTCTGACAGTGTCTCTGACAGTGTCTCTGACAGTGGCCCGCCTTCATCGCATACTTGTCGCCGGTCCGCCGGTGCACCACCTTGCGCCGGGTGGCAAAGGAAAAGTCAAGGAAAGGTCTAGGAACGGTCTAGGAAAGGTCTGGTGGACCCCTTGTGAACGGTGGCGAAGGAGATATGGGGAGATATGGGGAGATATGGGGAGATCGCGGTGGACCACCTTGTGCACGGTGGCGAAGGAGCCGCGGCCGAGCTCCTGCGGCGAGATGGGGGGAGATTGGGGGAGATAGGGGGAGATACGGCTCCTGCGGCGAGAAGACAGCAGAGTCGGGGCTGCGAGCACATACGGCTGCGAGCACGGCGGAGTGCGGCGAGCTGAGCGCACTAGGTGATGCGCGGAGCACGCCCTGCCGCACCCCTCCCTCTGGTGATGGGGAGAGAGGTGGGTGGGTGTTGGGGGTGGGTGGGTGGGTGGGTGGGTGGGTGGGGGGTGGGGTGGGGTGGGGCGGGTGGGGTGGGTGGGTGGGGGGGTGGGGAGGGGGGTATGCAGGCAGCGGTTTCCCAGCTACGCCCCGCGCCGCCACCGCCTCAAAGTCCGCCCGCGACGGCCCGCCCCCTCCCCCAGCGTCGACAAAGCTCGTGTTGCGGAGCAGCTTGGAGGAGGCCGGCGGCGGCGGCGGCGGCGGCGAGGCGCGCGCCGCTTCCCTGCAGGGCACGGCGGCGGCGCGCGGCGGCGGCGGCGGCTGTCTGGCCGTGGGGGGGCGCAAGTCTTGGTAGAGGTAGTGGTAGTGCGTCGGCTTGCCGCCGCCGCCGCCCGCCGCCTCGTGTGCCTGCGGGAGGGAGAAGCGTGGGGAGTTGGGGGAAGAGCGGGGAGGGAGGGGCGGCGAGGGAGGGGCGGCGAGGAGGGAGAGGGAGGGGAGGGGACGAGGAGGGAGAGGGAGGGGAGGAGAGGGAGGCGGCGGTGAGGGAGCGGCAGCGGGTCTCCCAAGCGTCTCCCAAGCGTCTCCCAAGCGTCTCGGCAGCGTCTCGGCAGCGTCTCGGAAGCGTCTCGGAAGGGTCTCGGAAGCGTCTCGGAAGAAGCGTCTCGGCAGCGTCTCGGCAGCGTCTTGGCAGCGTCTTGGCAGCGTCGCGCCTTTGCGCTCGGGTTGAGCAGCGCGATCTCGTCGCCGGAGGAGAGGATGTGGAGCTTAGACTTGCCGACCGCCTTGCCGTTGACGTACGTCCCGTTCGAGGAGCAGTCGAGCAGCTGCACCGCACCCTCCGGCGTGCGAAAGATCTTGCAGTGCGAGGAGCTGCGGCGGGGAGCGGCGAGGGTCGGCGGGGCGAGGCGTCGGAGTGCAGGGCGTCGGCGGGGCGCGGGACACTCGCAGACGGGGGCGCCGCCGCGCGGGCGGAGTCGCGGGAGTGATGCAGCGATGCAGCAGGCTGCGACGCGCGCACACACCTCACGCGGGCGTCGTCGATCTGGATCTGCGCGTGCGCGTTGGTGGTGCGACCCATGACGCACTGACGCTGCTTTAGCTCGTGGATCCCAGGCTCGGGCGCCAGGCAGATCAGCCGGCCCCAGGTGGCTTCGGGCGCCGCCTCGTCGCCGCCACTCTGGGCTGGTGGCGTCGTCTCTGGGCCGGTGTCGGGCTGCTGCGTGAGCTCCTGCGTCTCCCCCCCATCTCCGTACTCCCCCAGCACCACTTCCATCACCATGCTCGCTCTGTCCGCAGCGCTCGCGGAGAGGCGAGGCAGCGAAATGTTCGTTGAAGAGAGGCGCGCAGGCGAAAAAAATACAAGGACGGACGGTCAACATTCCTGTTCATACGCTGCCTCACTCCCCTCAAGATTTCCCCGCGACGTCCGTTGTCCATTAGTTGCGGTGTGTTGCTTTAGTCACTAGCCGGTGCGGCGCTGTTTGATTTTCATGGTCTCTTTTTCTGTGAGAGGGGCTTGTATGTTTTGGGTGCTGGTTGTGTCCAAAAAAAAACTGTTCAGTTTTCAAAAAGGGAGCTACCTGCTCCGGCGACACTAGGGACTCGGGCCTGATCCCGCACAAAACATCTCCACACTCTCTCCTCTCCTATGACACGACTCTCCGACCTTGGGCTAGTTTCCCATGTTTCACCACAGGCGCCAACTGCTTCGCCGCGCGCTGCTTACAGCGTCAAGTGCGGCCCTTAGCTGAGTAGAACTCGAAGTGGGCGTCGAGGGGGCCTATAGTAGAGTGTGAGCCCGCGCGCGCTGCAAAGCTCGAGTGTGGGCGATGGCGCGAGCTGGGCCATGTACTAATTGCGTGTGACTGTTTCTGCCGTCTTTGAGGGGGCGTGGGCGTAGGAGTGGTGCTCTGCTACCCTTGCAGCCGAGCGCCTTCTCTCAGCTCCATTGCCTCTAGGGGGTTGTGGCCGTAGATTTGGCCCCCTAGCCCCCCTCTCCGAGAGCAGGCCTGTCCAGTCTGGGTGGGGCGGCGTTTCTTATAGCGCCGTCGTGGCGTGGATTGTTCCTGCCGATGTTGGGGTGTTGCCGAGGCGGCGTGTCGGGGTGTCGCCGTACGCGGAGGGTAGGCGAGCGATGGTGGGGTTCCGGGGCTTTGTCGAGGGTGGTAGTCGCCTCTGGTCTCGAGGTGTGAATGGAGCTGTGTCAGCTCTGACTAGATCTCGCGTGATATCGCATATCGGCCGTGTTGGCGGTTTCAGCGTGCTTTAGGCGAGGGATTTGGTTGGTGAGGGCGCGGGTGGGGCGCGTCCGAGGGCTTGCGGGCGCGGCCTCCTCTCCCAGAAGGTCATCAAGGAGTTCATCGGGCAGCGGATCATGGTGCGTGCTGCCCCCCAAGCAGGCTCCAGAGGATTTCGTTCGGTCACCTCCACCCTTGGTGCAGAGGCGCGACCGATCGGAGAGAGACTCCGCCCGGACACCGCCCGAGCACAGACCCCCTACCCGTCGGATCGCACAGGCCCCCCTCGGAGCAGCCCACACACAATCACGCATCGGCAGATTGAGTGCCTGAGTCAGGCAGACAGCACAGACAAGGAGAGGAGAGAGAGGAGAGCAGCCGAAGCTGGGAGAGAGAGAGAGAGAGATTTGTTTTGTTTTAAGCTGGGTGACGACGAACACGCACGAGCGACACACACGAGACACAAACACGCTCACAAGACACGTGGTTACAACCACGCGCCCCTCAGGAGCTAAGGTAGAGTGGAGCGTCCCAGACGCCTTGGTCCTCCCACGGGTGATGTATGTATGTAGAAAGATGAACAACAGTCAGGCTCGGACTGCTCTGGACACCAACGCGGTATGGTTGGACGCGGGACAGATGATGACGACACGCACGAGCGACACAGAGACACAAACAAGCTCACAAGACACACAGCCAGCTGGCTGCCACACACCCTGAGTTGGCGTACACATAACTCAAGGCCGCGCCCCCCCCCTGATGTCGCCTCCCCCAGCCAAGTTGCCGAAGGAACAAACAAGGGCACACCAACACAACAGACGACAGGGGCGAGCGCGTGAGGCTAGAGCAGGCTTGCTCGTCCTCTAGCAATCTCGCCGCCGACCGCGAGGCCGGACTAGACCTGGGTGGGTCGTGTGAGGTGGCTCTGGTCACTCTCCTCAGAGGCTAGCCGCCAGCCGCTAGCCCTATCTCGCACTCACTGGCGGTGACAATTCTATGGGTGAGCGTATTCGAGTAGAGGCGCGTGAGCCGATTCTAAATCGCATGCCGGGCGAAACCATCAGGCAAACCCTGATTGATTGATTGATGGGAAGGCGAAACACAGTCCGACCAACGACTGGGACACCAACGCGGTATGGGTGGACGCTAGACAGGCGATGACGGTCACACAGGAGCGACACACAGAACCACAAGACAAGACACTCAGCCAAACTGACTGCCACACATCCTGAGCGAACTTCCCTAGTCACCCGCGGCCGGACTCCATCCGACACGCGTCGCTGGGCGCTCAGAGCCGCGTCCCCTGCTCGCCACCCCGACGCCCAAGTGCGCCCGAGCGAACGACAGGCGGCACGCGAAGACTGGTTGCAATCCCGCCGACCGCGAGGCCGCGGGATGATGCGTGCGTGGTCTTGTAGTGGGTCTCGGAAGCTCTCCTCTCGGGCTAGGAGCCAGCCCCTCTCCCTTGCCCCCGGAACACTGTGTCCGAGTCGAGGCGTGTGCTTGCTGGTCGACGGCCGCGCGCGGTTGGCATTGTGACGACGGTTGCGCGCGGCCGCGGCGCGCCCGCCATGGTTCGGCGCGGCGCGCCTACCAGCGGCAGTTGTCGAGGCACGGGAACGCTTACCCGGGGTCATCCTCTGAGCCTGGTCGTCGGCGCCGCGATGCCACGGCGGCGCATTCGACGTCGTCGGCGCGCTGCCCCGCGTTGAGCCCCGCCGCTCGTAGCGACGGCCCTAGGGATCCCTACCATACCATGCAAGTCTTGAACCCAGACAATGGTGAACCCAACTTGCCAAAACCTCCAACGATGGGTGAACCGTGCGCAGTCTCCCTCGCACGGCAGCGCAGCTTCCTGGCGCGCTGCGACTCACGCAGCTTTGGCTGCGAGCGCAACGGATCTACGTCCACTGTCTGGGTCTCTGGCGGCTGCCGCGGCGACTTTCTATGCGACGGCGTGCTGGTCTCGTGCGGCTTCGTCACACGAACGAGCCCCGAGCAGCGCTGCGGCTGCTCCGCGCCGCCGTTTCCACGTCGGGCCGAGGTGGCCGAGACGAGGCGGGGCACGCTGAGACGAGGCCGCCTTCGCAGCAAGCTGCTGCCTCCGTCCGCCGCAGCGGCTCGGATGCGGGCTCGGGCGGACCGGCGGTCGGAGCTACTCGCGGGCGGCGCGGCGAAGCGGTCTGCGTGGGGAGGCGAGTCGGCGGCGGGAGAGCTGGTCGGCAGTCGGCCGAGCGTGCTGGTGTTTCGCCACCTGGAGAAGACGGGAGGGACGACGCTGCGGCTCGCCTTCGAGGCGCACGAGAAGGTGCAGCCGGCCTTCGGGTTCTACGGCTACACGGGCCGCGCAGACATCAAGTGCCTGCCCAGCTGGCGCCGCGAAGGGTGCACCGCCAAGCGAGGCCTGTCGGGCGGCTGGTGGCGAAGCAAGCTATAGCCGAGATTTGCCCGCGATGTGGCCGCGATGGAGCCGAGATGTGGCCTAATACGGCCAAGACCCGGCCTTCACTCGGCCACAGGCGAGCCGTGGCGCGTGGTCGCGGACCTGCGCTCGTGGCCTCCGCCTCCCTTCGGAGGCGCGCTCACACACGCGCACTGGGCCGTGCACCTTTAATGCCGTGGCGCTCCTGTCCTTTAACACGTGGAGTTGCGAGGGCTGCCTGGCCCTCGCTAACCACCGCTGGGGGGGGGGGGGGGGGGGAAGTCTACCTCACCTCACCTTAGGCGCGTTCGTCGAGTTCCACATCGGGCCGCACTTGAAGGCTTGGCAGCAGACAATCGACTTGATCGAAGCGGACGCGCGCTTCCGCGCCTCCGTCTTGCTGGCCCTCACCTTGCGGGAGCCGGTCGCACTCTACGCGAGCTGGTGGCTCTACTACGGCCCCGGAATCTGCCACGACTTTCGCGCCCCCAACCCGGGCAAGTACACCCGCGAGTGCGCCTCGGCGGCGGAGTTTGCGACGCGGAACCCAAACCTGCAGACGTGGCTGTTGGCCAAGGGGGTGCTTCCTGGCTCAAACAAGACCGACCTCGAAAAGGCAGAGGAGCTTCTGCGGAGGGTGGACGTGGTGGGCGTGACCGAGGCCCTCCCCGCCTTCATGCGCGAGCTCTGCGGCAGGATGCGCCTCGGCTGCCCGCGTGGTCCAAATAAAAAAAGTGGGGCCATGCCGCCGCACTGCGTCGATCCGGGCCACACGCACAAGTCAGCGTGGTTCCGCCCCGAGTTTGCGGCGAAGCGGAACCGCAGCGGCTTCAGCGACGGCAAGACGTGGACGGCGGAGGGCGACACGGCTTTCCGCGCTGCCGTCCGCGACGCCGCGCCGCACGACGCAATGCTGTACGCGAGGTACCGTGAACGGTGGCTCGGCCCTTCGGCGGCGGCGGCGGCACCCGCCCCCGCGACGTGCAGCGGACGTGAGCTGCGCCAGCACACACACCAGTGGGTGGCGGTGACGGCGGCGAGGCCGGCGCTCAAGGAGTGCGCGGTCGTCGGTGTGGACAAGGGCCGTGCTTGTCGCTGGGCGCTCTGCCGGCGGGTGGATCGGAATGCTTCTTGCCCGGCCGCCACGTGCGCTAACAGGGGCGCGGGGTGCAGGGGTGGCGGGTGAGCTAGCCTGGGACCAATGAGTGCGTGTGATCTCGAGTGATCAAGGAAGCACGAGGGCTTCGCCGACGAGATCGCGCGGCGGCCACTAGCACCACCGCACATAAAATCTGCCCACACAACACAGATTCTATCATGAAAAAAAACTACGTGTACGCTGAAGTGTCGCGCGCCTGTCGGAGAGAGGCAGAGACCGACTAGAGTAGACCTGTGTCGGAGACCGACTCGTGCCGATGTGGGCAGTTTAAACAGGATATCCTGCCGCATGCGCATCGGTACACGGTAAAGACTAAAGTAGTCGGTTCCGACAAGCACCGGAGAGGGCAGTCCGGTCAGCGCGATGTTACACACAGACGACAGAGCTATCTTGAAAGAACACCTATTCCGCTGTTGTTCGGTCTCTGTATACAACTTTGCAGAGCGCTCCACGCTGACCGCCGAGGGAGGGCGGGCTGTGGTCGAGGGCCAAGCTGCAGGGGGGGGGGGGGGGGGGCTATGCGCCGAGCGCCTTCTTGATCTGCTCGAGGAAGGTGAAGGTGAGGACGTAGTGGGGGCCGACGCGCAGGTAGTGCGACGAGAAGCCGCGGTACAGCCCGAGAGGCCCCTCGCTGCACAGGAGCTGCTTGGCGCAGTCGACCGCGCCGGCGTAGAGCGTGCCCTGCCCGTCCGGGCCGATGGGCTGGTTGTACAGCCGGTTGCGCACCACGTCGAGCGGCTGGTTGCAGCAGACGCCGGCGAAGGCGCCTAGTACCATACCTCCAGAGTATCGAACCCGTGCGGGTTCAGGTCCGTGGGTAGTGTGGTAGAAGGTGCCGGCGAGCGAGGCGAGCATGTGCAGCGGCGGCGCGTCGGGGAGCCTATTAATTAGCAGTAGCCTATTAGTGATCAGCTATTAATTATGGAGGCGCGACCGCGAGCCTACCATAATAATGGCACAGCATCGGGGCGGGGGGTGCGGCAACGTGCCGTGCAGTCGTGGCATCGCGAGAGTACGAGCGAGTACGAGCGAGTACGAGGGGTGCGCGGATGCAGTGAATACAGCGGAATGCGGCCGAACACAGCCGAGTGCGTAACCTCTCGAGCGCTGCTTGGACTACAAGAATGGCGTGTTCCGCTTCTAGGGCCCGCTGCTCCTGCTCACGAGATACGGGGAGATACGGGGGGAGATATGGGGAGATACTCCGCTTCTAGGCCTGCGCGCCAACCGCGCGCCGCGACCGCCTCCTTGAGGGCGGTGTAGGTGGTGAGGTGAGGCCCCGTCACCATCGCCGACCTATGAATGAATGAATCAATCGCTTCACTCGTAGATGGTGCGGCGCCGCCATTGTCTCTCATCATTAATTACACACTCATTGGTTCATCGCGGACCTGGAAGGTGGGGCGGCAGTTCAGGCACACCGTGGGGAGCACCGCGTGAAGACACTACTGAGGCAGGGAATGCGTGCCCCCCCCCCCCCCCCCCCCGAGTGCTAGCTGGAGCAGGCGCGAGGCTGTCTCCCGCTCTGGGGGTCGCAGCGCGCGCCGGTCCCGTGCCAAGTGGTGTGCGAGAGAGTCTGCTCTTCAACTCTACGCGGGCGCGAGACCGGCACATCGACACGGCCGTCCCGCGCCACATGCCCACCAGCCTACGTGCTGAGTACACACCAGCGTGAGGGCGGGAGTACGGTCCCGCGCCGTGTGTTCAGAGCTCTGCGTGAGCGAGTAGGAGGGGTACGAACACGGTGAGATCGGCCGAACACGGTCGAGTGCAGATGAAGACGTGTCCCCTCGAGCGCCAGTCGGAATACAAGAATGCGTCTCCCCGCGTCTTCTCCACGCGTCTAGGTCGACGAGCCCCTCTGCGGCGTGGAGCTGTCGGAAGCCGTCCAGCACCGCGCCGCCGCCCGCCGCCTGCTCGCGCGTCGCGACAAGCTCACTGGCACTAGACTCGTGCTGTTCGGTGCAAGTGGGTCCTTGTGGGGGTGAGTGACGCTGACTGACTGACTGGCTGAACACTTGTACTTGTTGCCCGCCCCGCCTGCTGGCGCGTCTCACACGCTGACTAGCACCACGACTGTTGCGCAGGCAAAGCTCGCTTGCGCGCGAGCCCCACCCCCCTGCCGCCTTACCACGAGTGGTTATTACTGGTCTGCCCGCTCCGCCCGCTGGCGCGTCTTGAAGAGCTCAATCGGGCTCCTTCTAGGAACCTTCTAGGAACCTTCTAGGAACCTTCTAGGAACCTTCCCCTAGGCATGCTCCGCCTGCTGGCGCGTCTTGACGAGCTCGATCGGGTTGCATACCAAGGCGGCGATCGCCCCGGACGACATGCCGGCGGCCATCCGCTTGTACAGCGGCGCGGGCCCCTGCGCTGCGTCGTGCAGCTGGTCGAGGATCGGCGTGAAGCAGCCGATGCGGAAAAAGGACTTTGACGCCTCGCGCAGGACCGAGATCTGCAGCCCCGCCTGCAAGCCTGCCAGCCCGTGCGACTGCCAGACGTGGCGCAGCGTCGCCACCAGCGACGCTGGCTGCTTGTCCAGCTGCTGGCGCACCTTTCCCACCTCGACTGGGTTTGTGAAGATGGCGGCGAGCGCGGGCGCGAGCGACGACGCCATGAAGCCTCGAGCGTAGCTTTGCTGCGCGCCTTGACGTGGCAGCACTTCTTGTTTGCTCTCCTCGGTGTCGTGCTCGTCATGCGGCCCGAAGCTCACGCGTCGTCGAGGAGGCATCGCCATGAGCTGGCGGTCCGACAAACGGACGCCGAAGAGGGGAACTGGAAAAAAGAATTTAAAAAAACAGCTCTCTCTCACAGCACACAGGCTCGACACAGGTGCGAACTGGCGCGTGCTAGTACTATCACCGGCACACCACCGGAGCCGCCTAAGCGACTCCGTTAAGAACGGCAATGCACTCCGCAACATGCACAATGCCGCTGTCCCCGCACGCTAGCTCGTTCACCGTCTGCCACGCCACGGCGGTGTGGAGAACGACAGACAAGCGCTGCATCTGCAGCCCGTGCCAGTTCTTGGTGGTCCATGTGACCTCATCGAGGTGCTGAGCGTGCGAAAGTTTGTTACTCAGCTGGTCCGCCGCCTGCCGAAGAATTCTGCGGACGCCGTCCCCGAAGCACGGCAATGCCTCACAAACATGGGAGAAAGGGTCGAAAAGCAAAGGGATGCCTCCTCGCTCCTGAGTCCTGTCCTAGCCACTACCACGATGGCTTCGTTCGTTACCAACGCAACGAATTAACATCCTATTCACGAGAGAAGGCAGCGGCTCGCGCCGGCCGTTGCAAAGATCAACACTTGGAGCACTTGGAGTGCGGTTATCTGCCTCACATCCAGGGCCGGGGAGCTAAGAGCGCACCGGCGGGCCGGATGCTCGGGAGTAGAAAGATTTTTACAACAAAACTCCCTCGCACGACACTGGGCACGGGACTGGCGCGCACTGGCACTAACACAGGCAGAGAGATAGGAAGGCGAATCACAGTCCGATTGATTGATTGATGGGAAGGCGAAACACAGTCCGACAGGTGAGGAGAAAGAAAAAAGAAAAACAAAATTATCTCGTCGGAAAACCAGCGGAAGTCCTCCCCATCGAGGAGCTGTCGGCGTCGCTCCTAGTCCGATCGCGATATGGTGCGCGGCTCACGTTCCCAACGTGCGCTCCACACCCAAAGCGGTGGAGCGGTGCTTTCCACACTCTCCACACCCAAGGCATTCCTTCTCTGTTGCGGGGCGGAGTGGGGCGCAACTGCGGCGGCGCAAATTTGGCATGCGAAGCAACCACCCCGCTCCCTTGGCCACGCAACTGCGCCCATCCACCGCCGCAGGTGACATCTGACACCGCTAAGCTGCTGGTGCTCTCTCTGGTCGTGCCATGCGAGGCGATCGCCACCCCGCGCCGTCTGACTGCGCGAGCCGCTACCTCTCCCATTTCGGCGGGCTCGTCTCACACCTGCACCATCCGGGAGGACAACTCGCTCGCAGAGTGCTGGGGTTGGAACAACCACGGCCAGACCACCGTCTCGCCAAACGTGCAGTACACGCAGATCTCGGCGGGTGAGATGCACACCTGCGGCATCCGCGCAGACAACTCTTGCGCTGAGTGCTGGGGTTGGAATAAGTACGGACAACTCGGCCGGTGCGCGGACAACTCGACCGCAGAGTGCTGGGGTAACGACCAAGTCACCGTCTCGCCAAACGCCGCGTACACGCATATCTCGGCGGGCGGGTCTCACACCTGCGGCATCCGGAAGGACAACTCACTCGCAGAGTGCTGGGGTTGGAACGGGTTCGGCCAGAGCACCGTCTCGCCAGACGTGCCGTACACGCATATCTCGGCGGGCTCCTTTCATACCTGCGGCATTCGGGCGGATAACTCGCTCGCAGAGTGCTGGGGTTCCAACTACAGCAACGAGAGCACTATCGCGCCCGATGTGCCGTACATGCACATCTCGACGGGCTTGGCTCACACCTGCGCTATCCGGGAGGACAACTTGCTCGCAGAGTGTTGGGGCTCGAGCAACTACGGCCAGACCACCGTCTCGCCAAACGTGCCCTACACGCAGATCGCGGCGGGCGAACGGCACACCTGCGCCATCCGGGCGGACAACTCGCTCGCAGAGTGCTGGGGGGCAGGGGCACCTGGTTCCAGCGGCGGTCCCAACCTCGGCCAAAGCACCGTCTCGCCAAACGTGCCGTATGCGCACATTTCGGCGGGCGGGTACCACACCTGCAGCATCCGGGAGGACAACTCGCTCGCAGAGTGCTGGGGTTGGAATGGGAACGGCGGCCAGAGCACGGTCTTATCCCCACCGCCTCTGCCGCCGCCGTCGCCACCTCCTTCTCCCCCCTTTCCGCCACCGCCACCGCCACCGCCGGGTACTGAAGAGAACGACTCCTTGACGTTGGTTGTGATTCTCGCCGCCGTGTTGCTTGTGCTCATTATTCTCGCGGCGGCGCTGCTGGCCTCGTCCGCCGCGGCGCTGCCGCTCTGCAAGAAGACTACCGAGGCTCCGAAGCCGCATTCAGCAGCCACGATGCGGGTGGCCTAGGCATCGTGCCCCACGCTGGGTCCCAATGAATGTCCAGAAGAGGTCCGAAGAGATGTCCAGAAGAGGTCCAGAAGATGAGATGTCTAGGTAGCAGAGAGCGCCTTTGGCTTGAGTGTGCTGTTAATAGGGTTT